TTGGTTTCCCAGTGCATATAAAAGTTATGTTTACACTATACTGTAGTCTATTAAGTGTGCAATAGCATTATGTCTAAAAAAACAATGTACATACCTTAATTAAAAAATACTTTATTGCTAAAAAATGCTAACCATCATCTGAGCCTTCAGCAAGTCGTAATCTTTTTGCTGGTGGAGGGTCTTGCCTCAATTTGTAAAAAAACGCAATATCTGCGAAGCGCAATAAAGCGAAGCGCAATAAAACGAGGTATGGCTGTAGTTCCCAAAGTGCAATCTCTGGGTCACTGGTGGTCTGCAGGGCCATAGTAAGTGATCCTTTTAGTTGAGTTTGAGGATAAGCCTGTGTGTGTGGTCCACCACCAGAAATTCTGAAGGTTCACAAGAGTCTATTACTTCAGAAACATGGGAACCACAGGTCTAAGTTAAGTTATGCAGGTCTGGTTTTGCAGGGATTCTGTTACAACAGTAATTAAAGGAATCCTTATGGCTTGTTTTCTTCTGATTCAACTTGCTGGGGCTCTAGTAGCTGCTGAAACATTGAGAAGGATAGGGAGGCTGCACATGGAATCAATCTCCCTAGTGCATTCTCTCTCATGTTGGCATACAACAAAACTCAGATTTATGATCAAAAGCAGAGGAGCATCCTGATGGTCACTTGTCCATGCATTTAAGATGCTAATATGTTGTTGCTCTTGTTGGGCCTCACTGAATATAGGATTGCTTGCCAGGATAAATAGCTACCATTACCTATGGACTGATGCCAGCCCTTTCAAGGGTTTGCACTGACAATACAGATCATGTTGTCAGCAGCAAAACAGGCTGCCATTGTGAATTCATTCTTTTCACTACAGGGATTTGTATGAGAGCAGGCAATAGATCTATTGTTAATTTCAGTATGATAACTATTACTCTCTAAAATACTATATTTTTTCATACACATGCACCCTTTCCTGGAAAATTGGTGTGTGTATATTAAGTGGGGAACGCTGATTTTTTTGACCGTGATAGAAGCACCTTGCTTTGATTCCTGCTCCACAGTTCAGCATCTGCTGCATTACTGTTCAGGCAGCCGAGGGAGTCAGCTGACTTTACGGTTCATTGTTCTTCAGTCTGGATCTGTTAACAAAACTTTTGTTTCCTTTAATTAAGCTAACCTTTCTTAGGGAAATTTTGCTGTCTGCTAGCTGTTCCTGGTCTCTCGCTCTCCTCCTATTTCATACCCTTGGAGACTTAACTCTTCAAAGTCATAGATCCACCTATGCAAACTAGTCTTCAACAGCAGCTAGGGTTTCACCTTTAGTAAAGTAGGAAAGGGAGGGTAACTCAGCTAATGGTCAGGCTCTGTCCCTGCTCTTTGCAACTATAAGGCCAGGGAAAAAGTTTGTCATTCTGCCTTCCAAAAAACCAGGTGCATATTATATCCCTAAGCATGTATGTGAGAAAATATGGTATTGCCAACTGGAATGTAAGTGGTGGGAACATAAGAAAAAAAAATCTCAATACATTTTTGAATGCCCATGAACTATACTTTATTTGCCTGGAAGCTGTGGAAAAAAATTCAGGAAAATTCTGGTTCTCTTCCTTTCAGCTGTAGGATGTGCAGTTAGAGAGCAGAAAGATATGTGATCTTTTCTAGCATTTGTCACATTGTCTCTGAGTAACTCATTAGAAATAAAGGGTAATTATACTTTTATTCCTTTTTATGTCATTGAACATGGTTCTAATTAATGCAGCCTCTGTCCCTTTCAGGGGGTTTACACTCCCTTGAGGATGGAATACTTCTGGGTTTAAGCTTTTAAAAGATCCTCTGGGACCAAAAGAACCAAAACAGGCTTATCCATTTGTAATTGTTCTGCACCTCTCTCTTAACCTCCACTCTGTTCGGAGAAGCCGGCAGCAACTAATCCGTGCCATAACAGCAGAAGTTAGAAGGGACTTTTTGGAAAGAAAGAGAGCGTGAAGGATGCAGTACATACAATAAGTACTTAAGTAACAACAAATAGTTTGGTTGGTGAATTGGGCAGAAGACCAAGTACTTGTAGCACACGAGAAGTTAAGTGCTCTCTCTCTCTCTCTCTCAACACACCCAGGTTTGCACTTTTGTAAGTCCCTGTCCCTTGACTTTGAGGAGAAATAAGGGCTGGGAACACCAGAGCCAGGCATTTTTTTGCACTGTCACTGCTCAAGTCAGAGCTCCTCTCAATTCAGTCCATTAGCTGAGTGAAAAGCAGTTAGAGACAAGAAAACATATGCTTTCGCATCACAATCATTTCCCCTTTATCAAGCTGACAATTTTTGGCCAAAGCAGCAAAGGAATATGAAGAGGCCTTACCTTGGGGAGGGCGAGAGAAGCATTGTCATATTGGTAACAAGTTCACAGGAAGATTCTCCCCTTCTACTTAGAGACTGTTATACCACAGCTCCTTTGATGAAAAGGAGAGGAAAGTCTCAAAGTAAAAGAGATGCCATAAGGATATTTAAGTGTACAGACCAACTAAACATTTTTTACCCATTTGTCTACCTACTCATTAACTGTAACCTAAATTATGCAACTAAATCCCCTGACATGTAGGCTTGTGAATGTGCATATTTAAAGAAGGGTGGGATGTAATTATCCATTTCATTAGACATGGATGGCATAGGTACTTCAAAAGTAACCTCCGGTGCAAATTCTGAAAAGTTAAACTTGAGAGAAATTGGCAAATATGCTTCAGGACTGAAGAGAGCTGTACACACAAAACAAATCATTAAATTAAGTACTGTAATGACTTTGTTTTGGTCCAACAAGATTAGTGCTTAACTGGATTCCCTTCATTCACATAGTTTGAACATGTCATTTGGGAAAATATCTTCATTATAACATCCAAGCGTGCTGTTTGGGAGTGCTCGTGCTTATCAGCCATTCCAGAGTTCAGGTTCTTTCTTCTCAGAGGGCAAGCACAAGTTTCATTTATTTATTTTACTAATTCAGGTTTATTTCCCCCTAACTGGACATACAACGTTTGTTTGGTTTGGGTTGGTTTTTTGTTTTGTTCTGGAGTAATCTAATAGACTACAGCAATTGATCCATATTAACTGATCTGTTACAGACTACAGTAATCGACTATGTGAAGCCATCAGATCTCAAGAAGGACATGAATGAGACCTTCAAAGAGAAGTTCCCTCACATTAAGTTAACTCTCAGCAAAATAAGAAGGTACTGTGAAGACAGTCACGAGTGTTTTAACCCTGTTGCAGCATGCAGCTACTTCAGATTTTAGTTCAATTACTGTTGGTATTGTTACGTGAAGGGAATTGCAGTAACTATTGATTTTTTTTCCAGAAACAATGACCTTCAAAAGACACATATGCTTGCTTTGGCTTGTGAGCTGAGTAAATAAGATAAGGAAGTTTGAGAGTTTGTGTCTGGATAGAGAGAGTATTTGCCAGATGAGTAAAAAGTACTGAAAACTGGACATGCACCAAAATATGAAAGGCAGAAGACTGATAGAAGAGTCCCAGTGCCACTGATACTAAAAACATACTCATGTATTGAAGAAAGGAACCGTTAGATTGTATGCTTTTCCCAAATAGTGACATGAACAGTATGAAAGGGCAGTTTTAATAGATGCAGCCCAACAGTTTCATAACATTTAAAAGGTAGGCTTTTCTCCCTTAATTCAGTATTACAGAGAAGTTGCAATACTTTACTAATACCATCACTGCCATTTCTAGTACATTAGTCTAGAATTACAACTTCACTGCAAGATCCATAAAACAGGAAAAAGCGCAGATAGAAGGCAGGCATTTTCATTTGTGCATTCAAATTTATCGTTTAAGTGCCCAAAAGTGTAGCTGATACTTTTATACAACCATCTAGACACCGTTCTAGGGTACTTTAAAGAGCCTACAATTTAAATATGAAACTTTTCAAAGCAGCAAAGGAGAAAGAAGGAACATAATTATGTTAATTAGATTGCACAGTTACTTGATGTTAATATTTAAATAACTTTTAATGACTAGTTTTGAATTTTCTACTCAGATGAAACTCCAGAAGCAGATATTTATTGGGTCACTTGAAGGATTCTGAATAATGTCCACCAGACTATAAGGATAGCCACCCAATAAATTGGATTATTCCCCCCATATTTGCTTGAGTAAGAAAGTCTCCCAAAGGAAAGTTGTTTTAAGAGACTATATCCTGCTGCAAGTTCTCTAGCTGCTCCCACTCTGGGACTTTGTTTTCTTTCCGCAGTCTGAAGAGAGAGATGCGCAAACTTGCTCAAGATGAGTGCAGTTTTGAGGAGCCCACTGTGGCCATGGCCTTTGTCTACTTTGAGAAGCTTGCTCTCAAGGGGAAGTTGAACAAGCAGAATAGAAAGCTTTGTGCTGGAGCATGTGTCCTACTAGCGGCCAAAATTGGCAGTGACCTCAGAAAACATGAAGTAAAGCATCTTATAGACGTAAGTATCTCTTGACCAAAGTTTCTATAGCAAAACTTCCTAAACTGTGGTCCGTAAAGCATTTCCTAGTAGCCGAAGAGTATGCCAGTCAAGTGGTCTTAGCTGTTATCTTGGTTGCCAGTAGCAATACCAGATTTAAAAAGGCAGCTAAACGTTTCTTTACTATAAAATGTTTACGTACACAATTGTGGAACCTGCCCCAAGGAAATTCCATGGTCGCACCTGGGTATGAAAGATGGTTAATGACAGCACGTGGCTGCAAAAGGTGTCTAGGAGAAGCTGAAGATGTGGTGTCCATTGTGTGGAAGTGTTCATACAGAACAAATTATGGATTGAAAAAATAACCTTTTGGCTGTTCACTTTGCTTTTTCATAGATGACTTGAACATAAATGAAAGTTTTCTGTGAAATGCAAAAATGTAAGTGTATTTAACAAAAAAAACACTTTTCCCTAATTAAACAACAGAGCTTGGTAGTTTAGGGTGCGTATACACATGCAGGGAGGCTGCTCTGACACTCTAATTACAGCACATTGGCGCAGACTCTAGTAATCTGAAGTGGTAGTTGCCATGCTCCAGCAGACTCCAGCATCATATGTATCAATGTCCCCATACTGAAAAACAGCAACAGGAACACTTTAACTAAAGCTCATTCTACAAGCTTTAGTTAAAGTGTCCCTGCCACCATTTTTTTTAGTGCAGGGACACTGATACACATGATGCTCTGGGAGCTGCTCTAATTAACACCCCCCCACACACACACACACGCAAAACGTCTATAAATGCCCTTATTTTCATTTAGCAACTGGAGTTTTCAGGTTTACAACCTGAGAATGATGTAGCTTCTATTACACATGGGGCACTTTTACAATAAGCTACACTGCTCTTTACAAGCTACAGCCTGAACTAGAAGCCAGGTTCACCTGGTGCAGCAAGCAGCTAATTAGCATTGCTGAGTGACTGTTCAGCAGTTACTGTATTTACTCAATTCCAAGATGAAGTTTCCAGAGCTTCAAAAAGTAGCTGTGCATGGGGCCCAGATGGGCCAGTGTCAGCAATGTGCAGATTTCTGTTTCTAGTGTCTGCTCCCTACCCATCTCCACTCCCCTTCTCCCTTCCTTTGCCGTACTGGCAGGGAGCCAGGCAGGGAAAGAGGAATCTGCCTCCCGTTGCTGTGGGCTCCATCTGGCTGGGCTCCCTGCAGAGCAGTACCTCACAGCGCCTTGCTGGAGTCCGACTCCACTACAGCGGGCACAGCAGAGCTCCAGAGCCATTCCTGCCCCTGTGTTACAGAGAGCAGCTCTGCTGGGAACAGTTTCCTTTGAGCCTGCTCCAGGCCAGCTGTGGGGAGTGAAGGGGAAGAGGAGCTGGGCAGGGAAGGAGGACTCTGCCAGCTGTGGGCTCCCTGCTGCAGGGGGAAGGAGTGACTCTGGAGCTCCCCCTCTGCCCAGATCACTGAGGAAGGGGGACATAAGCAGGAAGGCAAGTAGGGAGGCAAAAAGGGGTAGGGCAGTGGTGTGGGGGCAGGCACCAAGAGGTGAGCAGGGGATCTGCTTCCCCTGCCCCTA